GGAACCCTACCGGGAACGTGGTCTCTCATACCGGAAGAGGTATGGAGACCTTATGTGTTTTGGCGCTCATACCGGACGGGGTATGGGGACGGCCTGTTTCACCCTCATACCGGACGAGATATTGAGGTTCATGGTTTTGGCGCCCATACCGGACGGGGTATGGGGACGGCCCTGGAATCAGATTATAATGTAATGGTTCACGGGTAGCGAGGACCCCCTATGGATCCCCATGGATACTAGTAGACTGGTAAAAGAAGAAAATTTGTTGTTTAATGATTGAAATGCAAAGGCATGATAAGTGTTATGTTATAAAGTCTATATGATTTCATGATGATGATAATGTTATTGCTTTCATATGTGGTTTTCATGGACCTCACCGAGGTAAGTGAACAGTAAAAGTTTTTATGTTAATAAACGAGTTTATTATAAATTATGCTCCATTGATCATTTTTGTTTTCTACTCACCTTTACTTCCGTGGCGGTGAGATAGTGTGATGTCTTTACTGGGTTGGTGTAACTCATTCCTTATTTAATCATTTCAGATCAGGAAGACGTTGTTCCCGAGCCCGTTCCGCAGGAAGACGGCGAAGGGGACGCCTAAAGACTTCATAGTTATATTTATAGTTCTTATTTTGAGTATCTCTTTTAGTTAGTTTGTTCCTTCATGTTTTGAGTACGTTTTGGTTATTGTGTAAGGGATGTTAATCAAAATTTTTATTACGCTTTCGCATTTGATATTTTTAATACATACACTTCATTTAAATTTTGGGTCGTTACAATCACCTATTGTACAGATGACGCAAGAGGGCCTTTTTTGTCGGACTAATAGGAAGTTATTTGTCCTCCTAAATCCTTACATGTCAATCATCCTAACACGCCATCTGAAACCCTCTTATAGGATCTCTCTCCTTGTAAAAATACTATATCATGTGTAACTATGGCTTCCTCCTGATTTAACATCCACAAATTTTTCATTCTAAAAATATTTTGCCTTAAGAAGTTAGAATAAGAGAGAACTTCGGTCAATTACTAACCACTAAGCTTGTTTGGTGAGCATAACCATTTAAAACACTAAAACTCTTGAAAACCCAACCCTCCTTAACTTTGAGGAGCAAAGAGGAAACTTACAGCACTAATATGTCATCTTTGAACTCTCACATCAACCTTGTCATATAGGTATAAGTCGTTCCATCTTGGCATAAATAAGCCTCAGTATGAGAAATATACTCATCAAATATGTTGAAACAGATTGTGGATAAGAACCTCTCTCCCAATCTTCAATAGCTTACTAGGGCTCTAATGTCACAACATTTTTTGCAACTCTCTAGACCATAAAATTAAAAGTATCATAAAGAAGTCGAGACACTTTAGTAGGAAGATCAAGATATAAGTCATTATTGTCTGCCACACACATACTATGATGAAAATAGAAACAAATCTTTTAAGTACTTATAATCGATTTTGATTATACATAAGGATTGTTAGAAGTATTAATTTGTAGTCATGGGTGGGTTCAAAACAATCGTTTCAATTTAGTTATGGAGTTCTCACCAAATTCCTAAGTTAGTCTCATAGATGTGGTGCTTATACTAAAGAATACAATTTTTAGGTTTGGGACTCAATTTAAAAGAATTCAAGGGTATTTCTATGAAATTTCTTCATTAGTATTCATTAGCAATTACTACGAATTATAATTTATTTTTAACATATCTTACTTTTTTTTTTCAAAAAAAAATGGTATACATATTAATATTAAAAATTAACTATAAAACACATATTTTTTATTACTAATAAAAAGCAATCAGTCAACATATAAAAAGTAGCAAATCAATAATCAGTGTTTATTTCACAACAAGAAATACAACTCTTATGAATGCGTGAGAAAATCTTATTTATAGAAAAATTAAGTATTTAAATGAAAAAAAATATTATCACATTATAATTGCTGCAATTGCTACGACGACAGAGACAAAAACTTGATATGCTGGCGATAAAATTGTGTAGGCCGAGTTGGTGGTTGGAGGAGCCAAAGTAGTCGGGGTTTCCGGCCATGGTGCAGGTGCTGGAGCATCAGCTACGACTTCAATAGCAAGCTTTTGGCCACCAGAAGCACAATGAGATCCAACACCACAAATATACCATTTCTTTCCGGGAGAAGCCAACGTGATTTTGTCATCTCCACTTGTAAGAGGTTCATTTTCTGCGGGTGCTACGCAACTTTTAAAACTCGCACCATCTACTTTCACAACGTTATGCTTACCCGCAGCATATTTGAACACTACACCATTAAAAAAGAATTGATATTAATAACTCATGCTATGATCAAAAGAAAAGTAATAACTAAAATTAATTAGATTAGGATTCTTGGGTTTTGATTACATTTTTTTTTTCTACTTGATCTTACGGTTAGTTTTTATCTTACCCATTCTGTTCTTGTATGTTTTTTGTTTCTCCATTATTTTTATTAATTTGAGACATCACTAGAGAAATTAATTTTATTATTTTCTTTACTAATAAAAAGGTTATTTCGGTTATATATAGATATACTACATATATGTGTGTGTGTGTGTGTGTGTGTGTGTGTGTATAGATACATACCAAGTACATCTCCAACACGAAATACTTTGTCCTTGGCCCATCCTTGATAATCGAAGTTATTGTTCTTCCACTGATTAGAATCGCCGACAATGTATTCGGTCGCCACTGCAATTGTGGGAAGAACAATGGCGATGACAGCAAGGATGATGAGATGATTAGAAGTCATTAGAGCTTAATTTGAAATTTGTATTCAGATTAAGCTCTTAATTGCTTTTGATTTGTTGATTTTGATTGCGAGATTTATATAGTGATTTCATTCATTAACATCATCGAC